GTGTGTAAATGGTGGCGACTATGGATTGCTCTTATAGCTCATGTCGAGACTTGCTAAATGTAAATTAAGGATTGGATTGGTGGTCATCAAAGGCTGCTGGTGATTCATGAAGCTATAATGCTAGTATTCATGTGGGTAATCTGGAGATATAGGAATGTTAAGCTCATCATGGACCTAACGCAAAATCACACACGGTGTTGGCATCTGAGGTACAAGCTCTGTCTCATCTATGGATAAATGCTCGGAAGAGGAGAGGTCAAAATCTAAGTTGGTACGATTGGTGTTCTGACACGGTTTTGGAATGCTATAGAAAGTTGTAGTTTTCTTTTGTTCCAAGTTTTCATGTTCTGTTTCTGTTTTGTTTTCCCTTTGTATTTCTTCCTTTTGTATCTCTAGCCCCTGGCTAGCTTTCATTTTTAATATCATGCCTGCCGTTCAAAAAAAAAGAATTTTTGAACATAGCTATTAGGGATGTCAAAGTCAACAAGCTTAATGAGCTTCAAAGGTAACTTTTTATGTTGATTTTAAGTTTGAAGAGCCAATCTTTTCTTTGTCAATGTTTTTACTGAATTTGTTGGGAAAATAAGCTCATGATTTTGGTACGATAATAATTTGATTTTATGTTGTGACATTTTGACATTGACTAATTGTTTCTTCTTATTTTTTTTAATTTTATAGAACAAACCCCACTTTAAGGGTGTTTGGGATTGCTTTTTGAATTCTAAAAGTGATTTTGAGTAAAAGTGCTTATTGACTTATGGTGGTGATGAAAGAGGTAAGATTGGATGAAAGCATGTGGTTACTTAATGCATTGAGTTTTCTAATTTGCCAACCTTCAAACCATTTAGATGGCTGATGTTGAGACTTTTGTATAGAAATGCAGGATAGAATAAGACATGAATAAAGATTAACAAAAAAAGATGAGACGGTCAAAAGCATTTTATTTTTGCGGTAATACAATTTTAAAGTTTGTTCTCTTTTCTGCTTAGAGACATCAATGTTATTTCAATTAAAAGTTTGTTTACTTTTACACAAATATAATTATAGATCATCATCTTAACTCCTGTGTTTTGATGTAATGTGGTCCGTTAATGGGTTTACAATGTTGTTCAAGTTATGTTGCTAATGTGCCCAAAAGGTATCCATAATCAAACATTCATTGATTTGATTACATTATTAATATTATTATTATGGTTATTAATATTATTGTTTTTGTGAAATAGCTTCGATCTGCATGCCAAAAATTGGTTACAAAAATGGTTACAATCTCCAACATTATCAAGATGGAGCGGAGTAGGCCTTGGTTTGCAGCAGATACTCAAAATTCGATTTTAAAATTAGTGCAAAAAAAAAAATGCACTTTTTTTAGTTGTTTAGTTTAACATCTCCTTTTCATCGTTTCTATTAAAAAATTATATCGTTAAGTTTTTACTACGTGTTAGGATTATAAAGACAAAACATTTAATTTTAATTTAAAGACAAAAATGCTAAACCATTGTTGTTATGGTTTCATTTCATTTTGGTTTTTGTCTCTCAAATGTTATTTTAAATTTAATTTAATATAAAATTATAAATTTTATATTTTTATTTTTTTATACTAAAATGTTGAAATGTCCTTTGTGGTTGACACAATTTTACAAATTTAGGACTAGTTTCTTATTTTTTTTCCTCAAAAAATGTTCAATTTCAGTTTTGGATAACACATTGAGTCCCTCCCTCTATTAGGCTAAGGGGAATTGTAACACTCCTAACACCTCGCCACACAAGATTTTTTTTGAAGTCATGTAAGATAAAGAGAATGGTAGCATCAAGTTGTTAAAATGTAAGGAGTGGTAGCATCAATGTTCTAAATAACGTAAGACACAACTTGACGGCAATGTCAAACCTCAAGCATTTTCGAGCTGTGACGAGTCACGTCGTTTGTAAGGTGTGACTTAAGGCGGTAAATTTGTATATAATAAATAATTTTATAGATATTTTTTACTGTTATTTATTTTTATGTACATATATTACTTAAGATGATAATTTGTCAAAGCTCAGCGGCAAGTACAAACCTTGAAGCCATGACGAACCATGACGCGTTTTTTAGAACCTTGGGTACATCCTAAATGTTATGTTATTTAATTGTTTTTTTTGAAAAAAAAAGAAAAAAAGAAAAGAAAATAGAACAGCCAATAGGAACCATCTTCTCTTCTTTTCTCTTTCTCTTTCCCCTTGTTACAGGGGTGACAAGACATTGTTGGCGATGCTTCTGGCGAGTTTCATGGGAGTGGTTTTGGTGAGGGTAGCGAGTTGAAGGCGATCCTCTAGCAAGGGTCACTCCCTACAGCCTTACCATTTGAATCGCTTCGTTAACACCTTTTACATGCCCCTCACATGAATGACATTTTAACGATTTTAGGCCAAAATATTGATCACTAGATAAATGCAATTGGAAAAAAATGCAATCTATAAAAATAAAACTACTACCCTTTGAAGCAACCACTTTTTATAATAATATAACATGTGTGTCAATTCTAATAAGTGAACGGCTGAATAATGTTTCTTTAGTCGTTAGTAAACATTAATTTTGGGTAACTATATTTTGTTACGTGAATAATTTGTATGTGTTTAAGGTCCTTTTATACAAGTCATTTTAAAAAATAGCCTAATTTTAGGCCAGTGGCCAACCATGATGAAGGAAACGCAAGAAATATATATTTCTGCCAAAAATAGCCTCTCTCTCTCTCTCTCATATATATAGATCTATATATATATATATATATATATATATATATATATATATATATATATATATACACATTAATTTTGTGAGACCGTGAGACACAATATAAAAATAATTTTAAAATGCAAAAAAGAAGGAAAAATAAAAAAATCCTTTTTTTAACTATTATTTTCGTCACTTTTTTATTTAAAAAAACAAAAAAAACTATGCGAATGATTGCGTCTCACGGTCTCATAAAATTAAGTCGTCTTAACCTAACCCTATATATATATATATATATATATATTATATATTATATATATAATATATATATATATATATATATATATATAGGGTTGAGATCCGTTGACAACTCATACTTTCCCGAGAACCTGAGAACTAAAGGTGGAGCGTTAGATCAAAATTAACTCATTAAGGGCATGATCGTAATATTACTGATCTCATTTAATGTTTACTTTTTGTTTGTTATTGGAAAAATTAATAAAAAGTTTTAAAAATTAACATAACAAATCAAATTTCGGATTTTTTTAATAATTTTCGTTTTTTTTTAAAAAAAAGATGCAGATTTTTTAATTTTTTTCAGAAAACATAAATTTTTTAAAAAATTGAAAAAAATATATTTTTTTTAAAAAACTGTAATTTTTTCAGTAATTTTTTTTTTTAAAAAAAACTGCACTTTTCTTAAAAAAAACTGCAATTTTTTTAAAAAAAAAACTGCATTTTTTCTTAAAAAAACTGCATTTTTTTTTCAAAAAAACTATAATTTTTTTCAAAAAAACTATAATTTTTTTCAAAAAAACTACAACTTAAAAAAAAAACTATATTTTTAAAAAAAAGTAAAATGTTAAAAATCAAGAAGTTTTACCAAAAAAAACTAGATTAGTTAAAAAAAACTTTAATTTTTTTAACAAAAAAAATCAACGTTTTAGGTGCATATGCATATTTTTTCAAATGCATATATACATATTTATTATACTATAATATTCGTAAGTAAATCATAAAAAATCTCATTTTTATTAACCAATATATAAACATGATATAACAAATAATTTATTCGATACAGAATAAAATATAAAAAATAAAAAATGCTACGAAGATTCACAGTCTTATCATTTCTTCATATCAACATTTCCAAATTTTCTTCAATTTATCACTTTTCACATCTTCAATATTTTCAACAAATTAATCAAAACCTACAAGAAATTTTTTTTAAAAAATTGATTAATGCAAGAACACTCAGAAAAATGCACAAGTATATATCATGTAAGACACATTTGATTATATCATGTAAGATTCAAATGTGATTATATAATAGGATATTGACATGTAATTGTATCTTTTAAGATTCAAATGTGAAATTCTCAAGAAAATTTAAAAAAATAATAATTAACGAAGACCACTCACACAAAATGAAATTGTGCATATAGACGTAATTCATATGTGATTTACATGTAATTCATATGTTATTCACTTGTGATTTATATGTGAATTACATGTAATTGATATGTTATTCACTTGTGATTTACATGTGAATTACATGTGATTAATATGTGAATTACATGTAATTTATATATAAATCATATATAATTCATATGTGATTCACTTGTAAATCACATGTAATTCATATGTGATTTATATGTGAATCACAAGTGAATCATATGTGAATTACATGTGAATCACATGTAATTCATATGTGAATTATATATTATATACATGTAAATCACATGTAATTCATATGTGATTCACTAATGATTTACATGTGAATCACATGTAATTCATATGTGATTCACTTGTGATTTACATGTGAATCACAAGTGAATCATATGTGAATTACATGTGAATCACATGTAATTCATATGTGAATTACATGTAATTCATATATGAATCACTTGTGATTTACATGTGAATCACACGTAATTCATATGTGATTTACATATGAATCATGTGTGAATTACATGTGAATCACATGTAATTCTTATGTGATTACCATGTAATTCATAATTACATGTGAATCACATGTAATTCATATGTGATTTACATGTGAATTACATGTAATTCACATATGAATTACATGTGATTTACTTATAACTGTCACACCATGATTCAGACAAATACAAAAATTCAAGAAAATTCGAACATGAACCATTATCAATTATGATTGACCTGATAGAGGAGTTGTTGGATGGCACTTTGAATCATATCCACATGGAGATCCTTGTTATTCCTCTGAGTCTTGTTCTTCCATTTTTACAGTTGAGTTCTCATGCATATATCATTATATATTGCACTGCTTCCCGTGAATGCAATCTGTAAAACATGCTTCCTTCCATGCATCTCTAAAGGCCTGCTATGTAACATACATGAAAATAAAAAGAACCCCCTTAATGACTCCATCAACACATTCAAGAAAAACTATATATTTATATCCACCTTTGTGTCATCAGAAACTCCATCTCCAATAACACCAAAGCTATCAACATTCAAGAAAGACTATATATTTATATTCACCTTTTGTCATTGCTTCTAGAGATCCCATTCCTCGATATTTTTTAACCCGTTGACCACCCTAGTTGACCAAAATGAGAAAAAGGACTTAATCTGGTAAGTTATATACGGGTGTTTTCTTTTTGCTTAATAAATTTAAAATTGCAAGTTACGAACCTGATTTGTATAAGCTCCATGAGCTTCAGTACTTCCTGCTAAAAAGCTCCCCATCATGACAGTTAATGCTCCTAAAGTCAAAGCTTTATATAGCCTTTGCAACAAGAACAACGAACAGGTCCACCTTCACCAAAATCCACTATCTGGAAAATTAATTCACACATTTTCAATATATATTGAAATTATTATATCTCAATTTCAATAATTTCAAGAAAACAAGTATTTTCCAATTTCCAGTCTTACTTGGATAGGCTCCTCGGATGGATGTGGAAGAGCTAATGGCTGAACCAATAAAGCCAATTGCATGCCAGATGTGTTTAAAAGATCTGAAGTGCAAGGAATCTAAACAAACAACAACAAAATCAATCTTACATTAAAACATTTCACAAGAAAAGTAGATGAAAATGAAAGACATCAAGACAACATGCATCACCTGATTAATGGTGCACCTCATGTACCTAGGGCTGCAATTTCCAGTATCCCTTACAATAAAATCACTTGTAGCAGGCTTCAATATCAGAAAAAATAAGAATATAAGATTAAACCAATTGAAGTCAAACATAAATGAGATTTAGAGAAGTTATGAAACCATTATCTGTACAATTTTAAACAAAATGTTTGCTTCCATTTTTTTTAAATAAGTTAACTAACCTAAAAATTATCACATTTTGGATATAGCTCATGATCTGGTTGGTAACTCTGCATCCATTAAGACTCCGAACCATCTGTTCGTCTGCATTCTGCAGTATTGAATCCTGAGAAATATCCAAATCTTGTAAAATAGAGTTCATTAGTAAAGTAACCAACTAGTTTTCAGTAACAGATGGAGATGAAAGAAAGATAGGAAAGTTTAGTTACTTCAGGTATGACCCAAAGTGAAAGTTTTGCATAGAGAAGATATATAGATACACCATTCAACTTGAATTTCATCATAGGAACGTGAGCCTCAGGTACAGGATGCAATTCTGTGACATCAGGCATATCTGAGAGCATTCTTTTTAATTAAGATGTTCTCTACCTAATTGTTGTGTTTATATCTATAAGAAGTATAAGAAGTATGGTTAAATTGTGATGTTTTTATAACTTGGATGGTCATTTAATTCAAAAATCATTTGTAAACATATGAAAACTTGAATACAAATAAATCATAAAAATATGCAGAGTGTTCAACTATGAGAAATCATAAAAATATCAAATTCTATTATGTCAAAAATCCATAAATTAACCAAATATTTTCCAACAATCAAGAAAAAAATGACATGTAACTTAGTTTACAAACAAACAGACCAAAAAAAAAATTAATAAAATAAAATAAAAAGATATCTGGCCCGACTAATCGACAACCAAAGCAGATGTAAGATCTCGAACTTTAAGTCTGCCATTTCCTCTCTGTTACAAACACATCACATAATCAGCACATAAACAACATAAGTGGAACCTAATAAATAAACATGATGAAGAGTCTGAAATGAGTGTTCCTGATCCTCACTTTCACAATTTTGATTCAGATCGAATGGAAAATTCATTTCAAGATTACCAGGTGTGGTTTGCATATTATGATGATGGCATGCCACGGTTATATGCATTGATTCAAATGAAAATGAATCAGAATCAAAGAATTCCAACCACATAATGTTATAGAAAACCTAGTTAAATCCACACATTGTTACATAAACCTTAGTTAAATCAACCAAATATGAAGAGTATCAGTTTAGATGAAAGAAGAGAGATAATTCTACAGATGAATTGATTTCATACCTAATTAAAAACTGAATAATACAAGTAGGTAAGGATTAATGATACCTGATGATCGAAGTTGAGTGAATTGACGAAGCAACTTTGATTAGATAATTTTGCCACTTCTATTCCAAATCTACTGCAATCGGTAAGGAATGAGAGACATCGATTATGTTTTAGGTCAAATCAACGATTCAGGATTGTGGAGGAGCAGATGCGGTGTTGGTAGACTCTAGCGATTGAAGATGATGGTGAGAATGGTGCGGCGACTGAAGACAACCATTTCTATTCCAGATATACGGTGGTAGATAACCAATCAAAGATATAACAAGCGTTTTAGGGAAAATCAATGACAATGATACAATTGGTGATTCACAGGAGTGTGGAGGAGCAAAGGTGGAGGTGATACACTCCGGCGACTGAAGACGACAATAAGAACACGATGAGATTCGACGATTTCATCTCAAAATCTGGGATGAAGAGGTGAAATTCAGCGATTTCATCTCAAAATCTGGGATGAAGATGAACATAGGGAAAGAGAAAGACGATGAGAGAGTTGTATTTTCAAAATTAATTTTGATTAATTATTATGTATGTTAATTTTTATCCCTTAACTACCCTTGTAATTTATTGTAAAAAGTCAATGTTACCATTGAAATTGTTAAGAATTACAAACATACCATGTTTGATCTAGGCCATTAAAAGTTTTCATCTAACGTTCCACTTTTAGTTCTCGGGAAACTTTAGGTTCTCAAATGATCCTTCCTATATATATATATATATATATATATATATATATATATATATATATATTTTGATATTGAATTTACCATTTGCTAAAAATTAATCAAATATGAGTAGATTTTCACGCATATTATCTAAAAAATATGATACTGGTAAAAATATTATGAATAAAGAACAAGATTATGATGATAATCATATAAACTCTATTGAAGAAACTATTGATAATATAGAACAAAATTTAAATGATTGGACTATACCTAAAACAAATATAAACACAATTTATAGAATAGGGACTTTTGATTATTTTCAAAGTTACTCAATTAAAATGACTGAACAAACCCTATCCATTGGTCAAACCCACAAAATATAAAATTTGTTATCATCAAGATCTATTTTCGAAACATAGACAAAATATAAATTTCTTCATTTAGGTCTTGTTCAAATTGATCAAACCTCTTTTTAGAATGGTGTGTTGATGCTCCTGTTCTCTTAATATTAAGAGATAACAGACATACAGATTTTCAAAATTCTATTTTAGCTATGGCAGAAACAAAATATCGCAAATGGACCAATTTATTTTAATTGTTATCCGAATTTTTCCGTAGGATTATTTGACAAAAATATTTTAGACACTTTGGTTTTAACTGTTGAAACAAAGAATTTAGAATTTAAAATAACTCTAAACCTTTAGCATATTTATCGTTTGTTTGTATAAAACCGACAACTACCTTAGAACCAAAGACCCGTTTGTCAAATCCAAGAAATGAAACAATTATTTACGAAGCAATACTAATCATACAAAATATTATGCCTAAACGACTTAAATGGTCAGAAATTACTCAATCATGTAATTGGCATTTACAAAATGTTATTGAACCAAAATCTTTAGATTCTTCAAACAAATTTCAAATATCATTGAGCATAATGATGGCTCAGTTGATAAACTTTTCTTCTACAAATTTTTCTTCATCTAGATTTTCTACTAGTTCTATTCCTGAAATTGGTACTTCTAAATTTCGCTTTCAAAATCAAAGTCTTTAAATTTAAAAACTGTTGACTATTCTAGTCCTATTCCTAAACTCTTTATCAAGAAGACCAAACTAGTGATACAAGTTTACCAAGTCCTACTAAATCTGATTTTCTAATGAACTTCAAAATTATCGAACAATTATGACTAATAAAGTTCAAATAAATTGCAATTCTTTTAAATAGAAATAGAGTTACTGCTATTAAAGATTAAGAAATTCAATAAAAATATTTAAAAAACTCTGCAAGAAAAGATATTAGAATTAAAAATATTAAATAATGATAAAAGAACTATTGAATTAGAACAAGAAATTAATAACATAAAAGCAGTATAAAAACCTTTAATATACATCTTGATAATTATTTTAAGAATTTATCTAAATATACGTGTTAATGAGTTCTAAAAGACAGATTAGTTGTAGTAATAATAATAAATTTTGGAATAATTTATTAAAGACCAGATGGGAAAATCTATTGCAAGCATTTCTAAAGAAATAAATAGAATTAAACAACTTAAAAAGACGAAGAAAAAAGGAAATAATTAATTAATACTGAAAAGGACACATATTAATTATAATATTCAAAAGGAATTAATATATTGCTTATCAAAAATGATTAAAAATAAAACTATTTTTATTAGTGCTCAACTTAGATTATTAAAAAAATATATCTTTTAGATTAAATAAATCAATCAATTGTTAAAATGAATTAATATAGATATTTCAAAATACCATCATATGTTATTTTGATTATTAACAGAAGAGAATATTATAAGATATAATAATATAAAAAGAATTTGGCATGAAGAAAAACTTTTCATTTATATAAGATTTTACCATTTGGACTTTGGGAAGATTATGTTTTATCAAATCAAATTCACTCTCCGTTTTTTCAAGGTTCGAATTAATTCATGCTCCCAAACAAATATAGATTATCCTTTTAAAATGCAAACTATTTTCCTGTTTCTTCAAAAAAACACAAGGATGTTATTACTAATCAAGAATTATTTCTGAGTATCCGCCAAAAAAGGAAATCATTATTGATAATAATTTTATGGCAACTCCTTTAGTTAAAGTTCGAGCCAGACTAACAAATGAAACAATGTTTTCAAAACATTATTTATCAAAACATATTACTCAAATGAAATCTTTTAACTATTTCAGATCAACAAATAGGATTGAAGAAAATACTATAAATTTACAATTATCAAAAGAAAATAAAATTAAAACAAAAAATTTTTATAATAATATAGCAAGTTCTAGTAATGTCAGCTTTATTCCTCATCAAAAATGGAAATTTAATCTTGGAAATAAAGATTTAATGATGAATTAGAAAAAGACTACTAATTTCGTATTCAAAAAAATGGTATCTATAATATGTTAAGAACAAATAATGACTCTTTTGACGAACTGCTGAAAGTTAATAATGAAGTGAATTAAATTTAGACAATCTTACTCAACAATTCATAAATGACAATGATGATATAAATCAGCTTACAATGATTTTCAAGATTAAATAAGATTAATTATTTGTGGTAAGAATCCAAAACCAACTATTAAAAATTATTGGAATAGAACCTTCTCTTCCTGATATTCAAATTGA